CACGTCCATGGAGTCTTCTTAACAGAGATTAGTCCCACTCTGTGTGGGAGTGAACTGAGTTCCTGCACAGACCTAGCCCAGAACCCTGTCCTGTGAGGCCACGTGAGAGCTGCAGAACCTCAGCTCTGCCTCCATGTCCTTGCTTTGGGGAGGTAGCCCCATGGGTGCTTAGAAGGAAAGAGGGCGGGGAAGGGGCATAGGGACTTGGGGTGGGACTTTCCCCAGGGAAATGCCCTCAGCTCGCCATAGCCTCTCATCCTTCTGAGTGGTCGCCTGCCACAACTGGGCCGGGGCCACTGCTGATGACTTGTGTGGCTTTCTTTCCTCTTGCAGACTCATCCTGTGCTGAAGCCCGCTGGGAGCATCTCTGGCCCCACGTGTGCTACTGAGCTTGAGGCTTTCTTTAAGGCTGAGCAGAGGACAAGTCTTCCTCCTGGGGAGAATGGCTGGGGAGGGCACTGTTCTGGGAGTTATTTAACTATGGCATCTCCTATGTGTGTGACTTTGGGACAACCGATAAACACCCCTGAGCGGCAGCTTCCTCTCAGGCCAATTTCTTCGTTGACTTGTGATCCTAGTGCCCGGCTCAGCTCAGACGTCCTTTGGTGTCTCCACCTCTCACGCAAGGGGGTGCTGGGCCCTGTTGCCCGTCTCCAAGTGTCCTAACCCTGTGACATTGGTGGAGAGGGTATTGAGATGTCCCTGTGCAGATGGGAACTGCTGAAGTCTGAGAGGCTAAGCGGCACAGCTCCCACAGAACCTGCGGGGAGGACCCTAGCCTTCCAAGGACCCTGCCCAGCCTGTCTCTGCACACGTGCATGGAGAAGGACACGCCATACAGCCTGGCAGGGGCGGCTTGCCAGCTGGGCTCCAGGGAGGCCTGCAGTGTTGCCACAGAGATGCTGTTATCAACAGCTAAGGCAGGTCTGTGTAGGCAGCACCAACCACAGCGCCCCAGAGCTCCCCTGCCGTGGCCCAGGGGCCCCAGGATTCCAGTGCCAGAGGGCCCTGAGTAGCAACGCAGGTTAGGCTGCTTGCATTCATGCTCCTCCCTTTACCCCTTGAAAACCTGTCAACCCAAACCAGCTGCCCCACCGGCCCTGTACCTTAGCATTGATGCAGTGCGCCATGCTGCCTCGCAGGATGTGGTAAGGGTTAAATAAGTAATCTCCGTGAAACACTTAGAACCATGCCCACACATAAGAAGACGGAGGAAACCTAAGCTGGAATTTCTAGGCCTATTCCCTCCGCAGCCCAGAGAGGATAAGGACCCAATGCAAAACCATGCGTCCTGGCTGTCACAGAAGCCCCCTTTCCTCTATATCATGTATTTAAAATAAAACTGGGCACGGTGGCTCAAGCCTGTAATCCCAGCACTTTGGGAGGCCGAGGCGGGTGGATCACGAGGTCAGGAGTTCGAGACCAGCCTGACCAACATGGTGAAGCCTCGTCTCTACTAAAAATACAAAAATTAGCTGGGCATGGTGGCACACGCCTGTAATTCCAGCTACTTAGGTGGCTGAGGCAGGAGAATTGCCTGAACCTGGGAGGCAGAGGCTGCTGTGAGCCAAGATCGTGCCACTGCACTTTGGCCTGGGTGACAGAGTGAGACTTTGTCTCAAAATAAATAAATTAACTAATTAAATAAATGTTTGCTCCTGCCGCTCCCAATCCCCTGAAATGGCCTTCCCCATCCAGTCCCTAAAAGACTGTTCTGAACCAAAAGCCAGGCTGGCAGCATTCAGGAAGCCATCGCAAGCCACAGGCCCACACTCGTGCAGCCTGTCTGTCCCACTGGCTGGCGTTCCATCAGAGCCCCGCAGTTTCTGTCTCCCTGGTTAGCTCCCCATTTCTTGGTCTCAGCCTCTCCTCTCCTCTGAGGCTGTGAGTGCCCATTGAGAGCTGGGCAGACTACCTGCAAGCTCCTGGCCCGACCCTCTTCCAGGTGAGCTCATGTGAGACTTGGATGTGGAGGTCCTCTATAAACAAACTGAGGGAGGAAGCTTATCAGGTCATAGTGCTGCAGAATATTCAGGAGACCAGAGAGGCCAAGGGGTGAAACAGGAGGATTTTAAAAAGGTGGCCACCGGCTCAGCGGATTAGCATCCCAAGGCTGAGCAAAGGACAGAGAAAATTGGGTACTTTTTATACATGCAGGATGATGTAGCAGCTAACAGGTTTACAGAAGCCAGAACAAAGAACAGTTAATGTGTAACATGTCTTGTGATGTACATTACATTTGAAAAACAGCATTTTTGAGAAACACATTGTACATTCTTTGGGTGTTATCTTGCCCTGTGACCTTGCAGCTGCTCAGCAAGAAAAACAGGAGTTTTGAGATGCCTGGCAACTTTGCTGAGAATGTGGGGAGAATAGATAAGGTAGGTTTTACAGGAGCTGGTTAATTTTAAGCAGAGTTGGGGGTTAGGTTTGATCTTGAACACAACACAGTAAACCTTATTTTGCAGCAATTACAGATGACTATTATTATTTAATTTCCCTCTTAATACCTCCCGCCCCCATGCGCCTCACCTGTGAAATGGGGGTGAAATCGTAGCCGCGAGTTAAGGGACCTCACCATATGCAAAGCCCTGGGCTTTTCTGTCCTGTTCTATCCTTACAACCTTACTTTTGGAGGCAAGGAAACACAGGCTCAAGGGAGCTGTGTAACTTGCCCAAGGCCACACAGAAAGTTGCAGAGCAGAGTCTTCTAGGTCTTGGGCTTTGCCTGACCCACAGTCAGACTCCGAGTCACCATCACTCACTCAGTCAGGCAGCGTCAGGACCATCCGACCCTGCTACGCTCCCCGAGGGCCGGTGCCAGGCCCAGCTCCCCGACCGTGTTCTCCACCCATGCTCAATGAGTGAATGATTGAGCCAGTGACAGAATGACATTGTCCACTTCATGAATGTGCTTCTGAAAGAATCAGACACTTTTCAAACACCAGGTACCTGGCGCACTGAGAGCAAGAAACCGAGGGAGCTGAGGCCAGCGGGGTGCGGCTTTGCCACTGTCGCCAGAAGCAGGCCCAGAAGCCTCTCTGCGGCTCTCCGGCCTGTGTGGGACTACCGGGACTTGATGAGGTTGATTTATTTTCCTAGCAGGGCAGGAGGCTGTGGGGGCCAGCCTGAGGGAGGGGTGGGCGCCTGCACCCCGTTACCTCTCCTGAGGCAAGCTGGAGAGGAGCAGGCGTTTACAGCCCCAGCTTCCAAAGGCTTCTGGAAAATGAGATGACAGGCCTGGCCACGGCTGGGCCTGATTCTCTCTCCTTTGCTAGAAACAGTCCTGACAGAGGGCAGCCCTTGAACTTGGGGTGGAGGGTGTGTTTCTGTGCCTGCGTTGATGCAGCTCTCCATCCCTCTCCCTTGCCCGGCTCCTTGGGAAGAGGTGGGGGATGCTGGCGGGGAGTCCTCAGGGGGCTTCTCTGATGAGAGGCTCATTCTGGCCACCTGGGCCCTGCGGAGAGGAGAGTGGCTTCCCCCGGGATTGCAAGCAAGGTGGCTTCAGTGCAGTTCCCTCTCGGGGGAGGCCTGCAGGCTGTGGAAATGATGAAGCTGCTCCCTCGTGATGACACAGCCGCCTCCCTCGCTGGGTACCATGGAGGGGCAGAGCCGGGTGAGACCTAGGAGGCCTTCTAGAACAGGGACCAGAGACCCCGTGAGAAGAATCGCTGTGCGCTGGAAGACAGAGAGTTAGCGGCCGCCCTGGGTTGTGGGCGTGAGACCTGGACAGACAGAACTGCCCTGTCAGTGCCTGTGACCAGGATGATGTGGCCCAGGGAGGCACGAGGCCTTACACCAGCAAGCGCAGTGCCAGCGTTCACTCGGCCCCACCCAGGCAGGGGGGCGACGGTCCATTGGGACTGTTTTTTCAGAGGTTTGGGAGAATTTTGTTTCGGGTTTTAGAAAGGCCTCGCATGAAGGCATGAATGAAGAACCAGGAAAGTATGACAGGAAAGTCCACCTCGAGCTGGGCACTGTCAGCTCTGGGACCAGTCCTGATGGACCCTCCCTTGCTCAGTGACTTGATCCCATTCCTAAGCCTCTCTGTCTCCCTATCTGTGAGGTGCTGAAAATCATCCCACGGCACCAGCTTCCCAAGAGGGCCAGGGAAGATCCGTAGGTGAAAACAGTCAGTTACAAGCCCACACACAGAAGGGGCTGACTGCGCACGCATGCCCACGGCAGGATGCGTTTGGCCTCTGAGAAGGGCCTTGCTTGTGTTGGCAAGGAAGAGGGCGAATGACCAGGCAGCATTGCTGGAACACTGCCAGGTGCCAGAGTGTGCAGACGGAGTCCCCTCATCCAGTGTCATCTATAACAACCCTTCAGGATGGGTTCCACTACATCCATTTCCAGGTCAACCATCAGAAACCCAGAGAGGTTAAAGGACCTGCTGATGGTCACGCAGCTGGTCTGAGTGGAGGAGCAGGAAGTTCAGCAGAGGCCAGTCTGCTTCTGGAGCCACCACCCTCCACGATGTTCAGGCTCTGAAGGGGAGGCATATAACAGGCAGAGCCTGGGAGGGGCAGGTGAAGACCCAGACTGGAAACAGGTGCTGTAGTCAACAGGGGGCCCTGGGGAGCTGCCCACCAGATGACCCTGAGCTTCCCATTTCTAGGAGGGAAGAACGGTCACCACATCTGTTAGGCCTCGTGAGCTGTTGGGAGGATTAACTTGTATCTTAAAACTGAGTCTAGGCCGGGTGCCGTGGCTCACGCCTGAGGTCCCAGCACTTTGGGAGGCCGAGGAGGGCAGATTGCGAAGTCAGGAGATCGAGACCATCCTTGGCCAACATGGTGCAACCCTGTCTCTACTAAAAGTACAAAAGTTAGCTGAGCGTGGTGGCGCATGCCTGTAGTCCCAGCTACTCGGGAGGCTGAGGCAGGAGAATCGCTGGAACCCTGGAGGTGGAGGTTGCAGTGGGCCGAGTTCACACCATTGCACTCCAGCCTGGGTGACAGAGCAAGACTCTGTCTCAAAAAAAAAAATTGAGCCTAAGCTTCACGCAGTGCCAGTATCGTAGCCAATGAGGTTTATCCGAGAAGCAATTATTGCTAATTGAAAACTTTTCTCAATACCCCGCCATGATGACTTGAAATATCGTCAGCATTGGCGATTTTTGACAGTCTCTACAGAGGCTGGATAAAAAAAAAAAAAATCTGAGTCTAAATCTGTAAATTGTAATCGTCCTTATTTCAAAAGCAAACCAGTCACTGAAATCGTTTAAAGGCTATTGAAGCTATTGAAATGAATTGAAATGATTTATCTGCCCTGGCAGGGCTGCACCTTGGCCAGCTCAGGGCACAGGGACCACTTTAGGATCTAAGAAAAGCACCTGCCCAGAGATGGGTCTCACAGTCTTCCCCGTCAGGAGCCCACCTCCCTCCCTCTCACTGAGACTGCAACCGGCCTCCACCCTCTCTGGGACTGTGTGGTTGGGGTTTTCAGCCTGAACCTGTCCTGGGTGGCCTCCCCCTCAGACCTGACGCCTCTGCAAACCTGCTGCCAGCAGCTCTGCCCTCAAGCAGGCAGAGACCTTGCATGTGGGCAGAGTCTAGGAAAGGGCTTGGTGGGCGAAGCGGGTTGAGGCTATCATTGAAGCCAGACCTGGGGAAGGCGGAGCTTCTGTTTGGTTTAAAGGAATCCTGGAAGTGTTTTCTTGAGCAGAGGAGGGGAGGTAGGGACAGGAATTCCAGGAAGCAGCAGTGGTTGGAACATAGATAGAAATGTGGGAATGAGACAGGAAGGATGGAGAAACCAGCTTAGCCTAAAAGATCAAAGGGTGACACACAGGTCATGAAAGGTCTAGAATCCACAGCTGAACCTTGACTGGCCATGGAGCCAGTGAGGAGGCGGACAAAGGCTCTCAGGCAGGTGATGGGTGGACAAAGGAACTTCATCCTGCCTCTGTGGCTACTCTGTCACTCTGGAGAAAGCAGAGCTAGAAGGGAGGCAGAGATTCCCTTCAAGCCTTCCCCAGCTCCCCCACCAGATGCAGCCTGCTGCCATGTGACACTGTGGCTCCTCCTCGGGACCCCTCAGGGTGGCTTCTGTGGTCTGCCTTTCAGGAGCAACACAGCCAGCCACATGCAGCCCACCAGAGGCCACCCTCCAGCGACCCATGTGAAGGTGGCCTCCGCACAGAGAGGGCCCATGCAAATGAGCACGGAACAAATGACGTGGGTACCTGGGTGGAAAGGTTTCCTTTCCCGGGCCCCCAGTGTTGGGGGTGGGTGGTGGGAGGTGGGCTGAGGCTTGAGGTCATGTCGACCCAAATCCCAGCTCTGGGCCTTCCTCCCCCAAACCAGGTGCCCAGGGCAAGTGACCTCCCTGAACCCTGGCTTCCTCACCTGTAAACAGAGGAGGGTGAAAGGCCTGGCTCTCAGCAGGTCCTCCATGTGCATTTCACTGACTTTTTTGCTATAACCTGGGAAACCTGACATTTACACAGAGGGGCAGGAATGTGAATACTGGCAGGCCCAGGGGGGTGACATGGGACACAGCACAGGCCTGCACATGGGACAGTGGGCAGAGATCTCTGCAGACCACCCAGTATGGAGACTAAACCCATCCTAGCCTGGTTCCTTTGACTTCTAAAACCGTGTGTGGCCAACAGGCACGAGCCAGCCCAGGGCTGCTGGTGGAAGCCCCTGCTTTCCTCCTTGTGAGATTCCGAGGAAAATCTGACAGGCTTTGACAAGGAGAAAGCCCTGAATAGGCAAGACAATGCCCTCTCCTCCACTCACCTCTCCCATCTGGCTGGCATAGAGGGAGGAAAGGAGTTGGAGGGGACTCCAACTAGGGGTGCTAGTAACGGCACTCTCCCGGGGCTTCCTCACCTCCCTGCCTGGGGCCTTCACCTGCTCTTCGTGAGGTCTTCACCTCCTGGCTAAGTTCATCTCCGTCTCCTGTCTACTCTGAGTCAGGCTGCCTGATTTCAAATGCCAGCTCCTTCTTTTCTAGCTGGGTGACCTCAAGCTGTAAACCTCTCTGTGCTTCAGCTTCCTCGTCTCTGAAATGGGGCTAGTGAGCATTTCTCCCTGTCATTTGGCTGAGAAGGGAAAATCAGCTAACTTCTGTAAAGCACCCAGATGGTACTTGAACAAGACCTGATGGTGAGGCAAGTTGGTTATTTTTATTCAGATGCCCCCTCACCCCCAAAAGCCTAGCCCCTTTGTACCCTTCTTAGTGCCCTCCCAGAGACCTCAGCAGATAAACGCTGCTCTCAGTGAAGAGCAAGTGAGGATTGGCTCTGAGTCAAAATAAGTAAAAGAGGAAATACGTGGGTGAGGATGTGAATCTTATGAACCCTGTGCATTGTCACCCTGGTGCCCCGAAAATAAACCCCTCACCTGCTTCTCCAGTAGATCTGACTGCCCCAGGACCCTGATGCCAAAAAGTACGGCCCTCTGGAAGCTCACACTCCCTAGAAAGCGGGCACATCAGAGGTTCAGGAGGAGGCAGCTCAGAGCAGTCATCCACACAAAGTTACCTTTCACCCAGGGCCTTTGTGGCCAGCAAGTCAAAAACAAAATGTTATTGTTCCCACTTTGCACATGAGAAAACTGAGGCCCAGAGTGGCTCACACGCCTCCTGTGTACACACACACTCCCTGTGTATCCGCATGATGAAATCCCAGGGTTGGCTGTGCCGGTCAGAGGGAAGAGCAGGTGTAGTTGGGCAGGGGCTCCCAGTGGCTCTCCCAGAGGCGCTGATTCCTCTTCCTGCCAGCCCCACACTCAGGCACCTGTCCTTGAACCCTCAGCAGCAGAGTGTGCCATACTTTTGATCTTTTCCATATGATGGTTCAAAGAAGGTCTCTTTTGTGTGTGTGTTTGTGAGACAGGGTTTCTCTCACATTGCCTGGGCTGCAGTGCAATGACACGACCTCAGCTCACTGCAACCTCTGCCTTCCAGGCTCACACGATTCTCCTGCCTCAGCCCCTGGAGTAGCTGGGACTACAGGCACATGCCACTGTACCCAGCTAATTTCTGTATTTTTTATAGAGATCTACCTGCCTTGTCCTCCCAGAGTGCTGGAATTACAGGTGTGAACCACCACCCTTGGCCTAAAAGAGGGTCTTTTACTGAAGTTTTAATTTGCATTTGTTTTATGCATAAGGCTGAGTAACTTTTTGTGTATTTAAGAGCCACTTATATATTCTTTTGAAACTGTCTTCCTATACTTTGTCCATTTTTTTATATTGGGTTATTGGTTTGTTCTTGTTGCTAGGTAGGAGTTCTTTGAATGATAAATTAGTCCCTTCTTTGCAATATGAATCACAGTTTTATTTCTCAACTGATTTCTCCCATTCCCTGGAGGAGTGGCCCAGAGTGAGCATCCCTAAGCGGGAGGAATCCCTAGGCTATGCGGGTGGAGGACTGGCTGGGATGGCATAGAAGACTAATGGCTTCCAACAGCCCCTGCCCTGCCAGGTAGCTTGCGGGAGACGACTCTGGCCTGGCCAGGTCTCCAGGGTCCCAGGCCCAGGCATCATCCTACGAGAGAGAGGCCAACACCTAGAAGGTCCAAGCAGTCTGATGGGTTCAGGGACCCAAGGTCACCAGAAAGAAAGGGTTCCTGGGGCCCAGTGCACTGTTCTGCACCTGGGCCAAGGCCCTGGAAAGCTCCAGAAGGCAGCACAGCTGTTAATAACATCTCACATTGACAGAGCCCTCCCGTATGTCCAGCCCTGCACAGGCACTTGGCTGTCAACATCCCCACACACAAACCCATTTCATTCTCCCTGGCAATTCCATGGGGGTGAGCACCACTGATATTGCTCTTTGACGGAGGAGAAAAACAGGATCTGCATGACGCACCCTGGAGAAGCGGGGCAGACCCTCCAGAAAGCAGCAGCTCTTACTCAGCGGAGGAGTCCAGCTGACGTCTTGGGTGGGGGGCCCATTAGGACACTGCTTGGGGAGCAGAGAATTTCTACCTCCCCTCCGCATTTCTCCCCTCCCTGAGGGCCAGAGGGGCCTGAGCCCTCCTTCCTGGGCTGGTCAGCGATGTGTCCTTGAATAAACTATCTAAAAGAGCATGCTGTCGAGGGCCTGGCCCCGTCACTGCCCTCTTACCATTGTCACATGAACCCGAGAAATGTTTTCAGGCCCAGGAATCCTGGAGAGGGAGGCACAGCCCTGCAGGAAGGGACAGAGCTGCTCTGCCTCAGAGCCAGAAGTGCTGCTCCAACTTGCAGAGGCTCCTTGGACAACTGTCCCCTTGCTGGCCTCAACTGCAAGGAAGGAGCTGGGTCAGACAGTGTCTGTGTCCTTTGTCACCCACAGCAGTGCCACTCTAGGATGTGATGCCCCTTCCCAGGCCTCCCTCGCAGAGCTTCTGACGTTTCTTCATCGCCCACCAGCACCCACCACTTGCGTGAGGTCTAGGGGAGCAGCCGCCACGTGGGTCCTGTTTTAGCTCTGTCGCCCAGTCACCCAGCAGACATGCGGAAGTGTTTGTTGAATGAATGAATAAATGAATGAATAAGAAAAACTTCGTTGCTCTTCCACAGGACACCGCTAAAGAGCCAATAATGAGTGTGACCGGCTTTCTTGAAGCCCTTCCTTGGAGCAAAACCCATGCTGCTCCAGACACACTGGTGGATTCCTTCCTGAGCAGGAGCCCCACACAGAAGGTCAGGCTTCAGGAGCTCTGAGCTGGCAGGGGCAGGGTGGGGTGAGGGACAGTCTTCCAAACTAAGTCACTCACTAGCCTGGAACCCCAAAGGTGAATGGTGGCAGAACAGGTAGGAGTGGAAAGGGCCTTTCGTTCAGTCCAGCTTTCTGGAGAAGCGCAGGTGGGCCGTGAGCACTGGGCTGCTTGGCTGGTAACTAGGCAAACAGCAGGCTAGGTGTAGTCCTCTCTTGCGTCTCTGTGCCACACATCCCACCTTCCTGCTTCCTCGTTTCACCAGCCCAGCAAAGAGGTGGTTTTGCAGAATGCCAGCCCTTCCCTTCTGGATGCAGGGAAGCCCCTTTTCCCCTGGACCTGGACTGCCCCAAAGGCCCTGCTGTCAGCAGTCCCCAGCTGGCTCCCCTAAGACGCTGAATCATTTTAGTCTCTGAACCCTTGAGGTCTCCCTCTCACCCTGCCCACCACAAAGACTCTCATAAGTTTCTTGGATTAATTTGA